CCGGGAGCATGTCGGGGCCGGTGGAGAACTCAGCCGGGCGGCGGAGGCACGGCCGCGCCGTCGGCACAGGGGCTGGCGACGCCGAGGGGTGGGGGGAGAGCAAGCTGAGAGGAGACGTTGTGGACGAGGAAGAAAATCTGATTTTTGTACCCACTTGGCGAGACTCTGGGTTGATTAACAGGTGCCAGCGAATACAGTGAGAATAATTTGAATCAAGTATCACCTATAATGATTATGAAGTTTTCATTAATCTCATTGTCGCATTAAGAAGATACACACATGCCAATCGAGCTCTCATATGGACACATGCTACATAGGAACACTGGCCTGATCATCTTTGCTCTCTCTAGGTGAACCGGAAGACTTTTTTTCTTTTCGAAAAGGAGGATCAACCCATCTTTATTATGTTATTCAACGAAATCTAACAAAATAAATACAAAGATCAATCCAAAGCCACCTTCGAGGAAACAAAGTTGCTACACCTACAAGTATGATGATGTGCCCTGACAGCACCAACACACAGCATCTAATCCAGTGGCCTCAAGAAGCCGCCTCATGGCAAGCCGAGAGCACCAACCAGTCTATGCGACCGACAGCGCACACCGCATGCTCATGCTCTAGGATCCGCCGACGCCATCTTTCACCGTCCCATCTTCGTCCCATCTTCAGGAGGGATCATCGCATTGACATTGTCAGGCCCAATTGTCGTCGACATCACCAAGATGTCAGACACTATCACCAGCTTGCGTGTGTCCATCAACCCCTGTCTAACACTGAGGCTCCACTGCGCCACGCCGTCGAGACCCACCGTCTTCAATGCGGTAGATGTGACACGGCTCCACCTGTTGACCCCTCCAGTTAGTATCTGCTCCAAAACAATGCCCTAAGGAGGGAAAACAGCACCAAAGTCTCTGTCATCATCCGATCCGGGAGACCCATATCTAGGGTTTCCCCCAGAGTAGATGCCCGCTAGAGGAGGAGGGGCACGCCACCTGCACGTGCCAATGAACCCAAACGGCACCCACCACCACATAGCTCTAACGGCGACACCTTCGAAGGACACGGCGCCTTGAGTGCCATTGCAGCCTACCACAGTTAGGGTTTTCACCCGAGAAGCAATGACGTGGGAAGAGGCATGGCAGAGCCGAACGTCGTCTCCAGAAAAAAGACAGGCGCTATCGGGCGTCGTCATCGTCGCGGCTGGCCAGAGCTAACCAGGGAGTTATCTCGATCTCAAAGTTGTCAGAATCGCGATTTTGAAACAGATCGGAGCTTTGATGGTAGGATCGCAAATCGTAGAATCTCCACTATCAGGATCGTAGAAACGTAGATTCTAAGAATTAAAATCGTAGAATCATAGGGGTTAGTTTGGATCATAAAGTCGTAGAATCGTATAACAGAATCGCGATTCTGACAACCTTGCTTGATCTTGATGTCCACCACCCGCTTCGCCCCAGCCCGGTGACCGGCTAGCATCAGCGTGGACATGTTCGGTGAGACGTAGTGCACTTAGTAGGGAATGAAGGTAGAGGAAAGATCGGAGCCATCGGCCTCCGGGGCTGCTAGCCATGGCACCAACCCGCCGGTAGATTGCCAACCACCCAAGCCGACCCCCGGCACCCGCCAGCCCCGCCGCTCCATCGGCCAGGGAGGCCACACGGGGCCACCGCCCCAGATCCAAGGCCCTCCACCATGAGGGAGCAGCACAAGAACGGACGGAGCCACCGCTCCAAGTCCATGGCCCTCAACCCCTTCCACCAAGACGGAGTAGCACAACCCCGCCGCCACTTTCCTTGACCGTGGCTCAGATTTGACCGGAGCCTACCTCAGGTGGCGGCGAGCGATCGGGTGGAGGGTGGAGCCTGGAGGCGTGGGGCGACGCAAGGGTACCGGTTCATGGGATGAAAATATATCTTAAACTCGCAATGGTACTAGCCGGGACATTCATCACATGCCCCCAACAAGTTCAGATGATTTTTGCAAAAATTGTTTGTTTGGATACTTCCCAAAGAGCTAATTACAGGTTCAGACAAAACCAAGCTTTAATAATAACTAAGAAAATTAGGCAAACAAACAAGACTAAGAATTATATTATTTTAATTCACTACAAGTTCAAGACTACTAGTGATGTGCTTTCCGAATATGATATTGTGTCAGAGCATAAACTCTTTTGTTGTGTGAGGAGAGCGTACACTCTTGAGTCAGTGGCGGAGCTAGACAACATCTGCTGGGGGGCAAAATGGAAAATACATGTGTTTGGGGGAGGGGGCAAAAGCTAAAAAAGTTCTCAACT